AAAAGATGCCCGGATGAAATATTTGGCGCATACCAAAGAACCAGTAGTAATTTTTTCAGAATTGTCGCGTAAACCGGTTTTGAGATAATGCTAAAAACGTTATTTCCAAAAAACTAAATTTCTCCGAAACCGAAGACAATAGCGAAGTTTCGTCAACACTACTGGATTTGGAAGGTAATTGTCCAGAAAAAATGTACTGATCAGTTTTTGCCCAAAATTCATCATAATCGAGCTACTGGCAAAAAAAATCGAAATATGGTGCATTTTAAACCGCCGAATTTGGGTCAAATTTATACATTACTGTGCTGAAAAACTCAAATACAAGTCCATATGAATTTACTTGTGATGAAGCTTTTCATATGCTGCCTAAAACCATCTGATTTTTTTACGCTGATGCACTGATTTTATTGACATTTTTGGCTCTTTGTAAAATTTTGTAGCATCCATAGTTTTTGCGCAAAAATTGCTTCCTCGCTACTTGGCCATTAATAGCAGAGGAGCTGAACATTTTTTCTGAACAAACGTTAGGTCTGATTGATCACCCTTTAGATCATGTGCTTACAAGACACCTTGTATATTCCAAAAACACTTTTTCAGTCCTGCACCGATTCTTTTAATCGAAAAGTTTGATGAGTTTTGGGCACACAGCTGAGCATTTTCTGCTGAAACACACCAGGTGCAAAGACTGCCATTTTTCCATCCCGAAAATAAAACAGATTATCCAAAAATAAATAAAATAAAGCTCCAGGAAGCCGGAGAAGTTTGCGGTTAGTTAATTGTAAAAGTTTCACGAGCCGCCCTTAAACCACCTCGCCTTTGGCGCAAATCGAGCCCGAGATTTGCATGCGACTTCTTCATATAAATTTTTCAAAAACAAATTATGCTGCACCGAACGACAACAACCACAGTAAAACAACTTCCTTGTTTGTCGACCAAAGTTATTGCATTTCTATTCGGTCTTTTATCGGTCAAGTCCCATTGGTTTTCAATAAAAGCCGGGCTGCGCCCCAAATGGTAAAAAATTCATTCGCCCTGTAGAAGAGAATGGAGCCATCAAGTGGAAGAGAGGCAGCTTTTAGGAGAAAACTGTCCGCGCTTCGAAAGCTTTAAAGGATTCATAGGGGGCATTGAAGTGTGCTTAATCCTTTTTAGAAACAACTTTGCCTAAAGTGAGTTGGCGTACTGAGACTTTTCCCTGTTTAACCTCGTGTCTCCACCTAACAAACGTTGCCACGTGCTTTACAACTAAAGTTGTAAAGTGTAAAGCTAAATCCTTGCTTTACACTGCACAAGGTAAGCACTAGTTCAAGAGCAGGTACTTACCTGTACAGACAACAGAGCGCTGCGCAACATGTCCCATATGGACAGCCATGGGGCGTAAATGGTGATCGCATAGGTGACTCCTAGTAGGGGAATTAAGACTGCCAGCGCCTTGACAGCCTTGCGATACTGTTGAATCTCCAGCGTGTTGGCTGAACGCAGTTTGGTCACCAAAACTACCATGATGGACACCAGGAAAATGATGTTCACCACCAGGACAATAATGGTAGGCACTTGGAAGATGTAGTCGATGTGGCTGGCGTTGAACCAATTGCACTGAAACAAATATATAGACAAATTGTATATACTTTCCTGACTGTGTTT